CTTAACTTTGCATCAATCTTATCTTATAATCCTTAACTTTTTTTCATAAAACCCTAAAAGTAATTAAACATTTTAATAATATAACAATTTATCAACAAATTTAAATACAATTTACAAAAACAATGTGAAAATATAAATGTACAATTTATAAACAATGTTAAAATATTAAAGTACAATTAAAAATTTTGTGAATAAATTAAAGGACAAAAATAATAAAATACGGTGGAAAATATAAGGTGAAAAATGAAATTATTTTTGCCCGAAATTTACAATTTTGAGGTTTGAAATTATCCCTTTTTGTATGATTGGTCTGAAAATTTTTCTCATTTTAGTTGAATAAACCATACCATCCTTCACATTGCGGCGTATAAAGTTTGGATTCTCGATCATAATTGTTCCCTCATCATCATCTTCCACATCTTCGTTTCCCCCATTTGCATATTTAAGTACGCTCTCTTTGAAAGTGTCAAAGTGCAGGATTTTGCAGACATCTGGGCCGGTAAAATAAGAGCGTGGTTGCTGGTTAGGTGACCCAACAAACCAATCAACTAAAATATTTAAAAATTTAAAATTTAAATTTAAATTAAACAATTAATATTTTCTATAGTAATTTCATTGAAATTTGCACAAGTATTTGGATCACGTATCTGAACCATTTTTGAGAATAAATTAAATTAAATACTATAATTTATAAATAGATGATCTAAAAATTTAAGTTAATATTTTTTTATTATTTTATATCAATCACTTTCCCCAAACTAATCTCATTCCTTTATACTAATCTTCTTGTTAGCTTCGATTGCGCTATGCTAAAAATTTTCATTAATTTATAAATTATCTTCCAAAATTCAACACAATTTATATATGTACAACAATTTAATTACTAATTTTTATAGTAACAAACATAAATTATCTACATATATTAGTAAAAAATTGTTCTGATAAATTAATTAAATAGATCATCGTTATCATTGCTATTCACGTGAATATTTATTACACGAGTTTTTGATTACGTTTAGCAACGAAATAAATTAGCTTGGGAATTTTTTGATTGACTGGCCATTTTATATTTGATAGAGATAACAAAGTCCAAAAATGGATGGAAGGAAATAAATACAAAATGTGCCTCCACATGGTTATAGAAATATATATTTATAATTTAAAAGAATTTAAATGAAATAAAAATAAATTAATAAAATTAAACTGTAATAGTCCTAATCAGAAATTTCGGTATTTAACTATACTTTTTTAGACTAAAATGTAGATTCGATTATGAGAAGAGAGTTTTAATTTAATTTTAATGGAAAGTTTACAGAATTTGCTTTGCATAATTAGTTTGACTTTCTTAACTTTTCTTGTTGCAAATTTTTAGTAATTAAATCGAATTTAAATATATAATTTATTTAAGATTGTTTAGTTTTTTAAAAAAGTAAAAAAGGATAATTAAAAAATTAAGTTTTTTGTAATAAATATTTGGAAAATTTTGTTGTTTTCCTTGTATCTCGACTAATATAACTTAACTAGTTGTATGTGCTTAAAAATTCTGAAACACAAACTCTAATAATACGATAAAGATATAACGAATATATAAGTATTATGCCAATGTAAAAGAAGATATTTCCGATTAAAATAAGATATAAAATAATTATTTATATATTTTTATTCTTCAATAAATGTGTGGAATGTATTAAGTGAAATAAGGAAGATATCCATTTTTAAGTAATTTATAGATATTTTTGTATATAATAAAATATATTTTATATCGTTTAAATAACGTTAAAAGACTTTATAATTGCTAAAAGATAAAGAGTAAAATAAGAATTGAATATTTAAAAAATAAGAGGATTTAAATTTTAGGATATTTTGTGTATATTTTAATTCAATGCATACAAAATTACAAAAGAGGAACAAAAAAGTTTTCTAAAATTATTTTTTAATTCATTTATTTTTAAAATAAAATAATTAATTTGGAAGTGTATTTATTAATAAAATAAAATATTATATATAATTATTATATAGTAATTGTTATTATCTTTCTTCAGACAAAAAAATAATAATTTATTTATTCTTTGAAATTAGAAAATTTTCAATGTTTTTAAAAAATAAGATAACAAACATTAGTATAGTTTAAATAATAAAATTATCTTTCCATTACTTTTTTAGACTTTACTAAACATGTGTTCAATTATAAAAAATAATAATAATTTTATTTTATAAAAATTTCGCTGAAATTTAAATTTCATAAAAACAAAAATTTAGATGAGAAAAAAATATATTTTGTATTTTTACAGTAAAATATTTTAAGAAATTTATTTTAATTTTTTAATTTAAAATTTAACAATATAAAATTAATTTTTAAATTAAATTGATTTTCATTCTAAGATTATTATATTTTATTTAATTTTAAAATTAATTTAAGTATCAATAATCACCATTAGAATGCTTAGATAATTTAATAATATTTATGTACCAAGAAAACCTTTAAAATTTTTTAAAATTATTTAATGTTAAATTATGATACTTATATATAGGTACCTATTTATTTATTTCCTCATGATTATTAAATTAAATATGGTATGTCTATAATTAAATATAAATAATGATCAAGTTTAAATTTATTTTAAATTATTAAATGTTAATTAAATAATTAAATAATTATTTTTTTATTCAATAGAAACGTTACATATAATACATTCAATTTTAGATTTCTTGCCAACAGAAGAAATTTTTGTTACATAATTTTATTTGAATAAAAATTGTAATAATAAATCATAGTTTTTCAAATATAAATTTATTTTTAAATAAAAATTTTCTTCGTGAAATAAAGCATAAATTAAATTTCGAAGCAATTGTAAAAATATTAAAAATTTCACTGTATCATAAATTTAAACCTTTACTTAATTTTTTTAAACTCTACGTACAACACAAAATTAAAAAAAAATTTTTTTTTATTTTTCAATAAATGCATAAATTAAATCTTATGATTTTTTCTCAATAATTTGTAAAATTCTTAAATACTAGGTCGTTTCATAAAAATGTTGTTTAGACAAAAATAGTCTTTTTATAATTGCCCAAAAGCTTTGAAAATTTGATATGAATTTTGTAGCCTGTATACACCAGAAGTATCATAACCATGGGGGTTCGACCTTCTATAGCATATGTGATGTTAATTCGTTAGTAGTATATCCTTCGAAAGCTCTTTAAGAGTTCTATCAAGGAAAATTGGATACCGAATTTTTCATTGATAAAAAACCCTGAATTTCAGAACGGTCAAAATTTGAATTCCGGGTTTAACAACCTATATGTCATTTACAAAACCGTTTAGATCATCCTGATCGAATGATTTTACGCAAATTTTAATGTACACATCGTTTTCACAAGAAATTTTTAAAACATAGAACTCCCTTAATATTTAGAATAAAAAATTCTTAAACTTTGGTTTTTATTAGAAAACACTCTATAAAGTAAATATCCTAAGTTTTAAGTCTTTTGGACATTTACAAAAAAAATTCTATAACTACCTATTTATGTAAAATAGAACGACTTAGTAAATAAAATATTAGAATTGCAGGTTATTTCAACAAATTTAATTAATTTTAAATACTAAAGAAAATATTAATAGATTCAAAAAGGATAAAGACTTCGAAGATGAGCGCTCAATCAGTAATATTATAACATTATTAGCCTAATAATTTGAATATAAATACTCAAAATTAGGAATATCCCTCATTTTTAGAATTAAGGATATCCCTTTCAGCCATAGGGTTTATTTAAGAATATGACTAAGCTTACTTTTTTACGATTTTATATTTGTTCGTAAAAAACTCAAAAACTTTAAGTTTGAAAATAAATCCGAGGATAAATAAAGGGTTTCTAATATAAAAAATATTTTTTATTATTTAATAATTAAAAATAATTTTTTAGTCTGATGATGGGACTAGATTTGAATTTCTTCTGCCCCCAATTGTTTATTCATTTGTAGGATTTATCGGAATATTATTAAATACAAGTGTTTGTTATATAACAATTAAATATAGGTAATTAATTAATTAATTAATTTAAATTAAAGAAAACAATATTCAACACTTAAAACAAATACAGCTATTTTATTAACAATTAACTCTTTTTTTGAAATTCTTCATCAATCTGGGCAATTTATTTACTTAATAATTGCTGTAAATGGAATTAATTTAATTCAATTAAATAAAATTATTTTATTTCAAATTCATTCAATTATTGGAATGTTCTCTGCTGTGTTTCTGTTTAATTCTTTAAGTTTTGATCGTTTCCTTGGAGTGGCATTTCCAATTTTGTAACTACTTAAATATTTAGACACCTCTGATATAATGACAAATTTCAGGGGCCGTATTCAGAGAGCGAGTTAAGGGTACCGGGTCACCCTTACCCTCATTTATGAATAAAGGTTCTGGGTTAACATACCTGCAGCTGAGGCTTGGTTAACCCCTACCTCGTTCTCTGAATAAAGCCCCAGAGGGTTAAATAAAATTAATGTTATTTTATTTGCGAGATTTTACAGTTTATTTTTTAAAAATTTTTATTCTAAATTAAATTTGAGTTATAATTTCTAAACATTTTTAAGTAAAAACTCATAATTATCTATTTAGCAAGACCCACTTAATAACTAGAAAAAATATTTTTAAGACATTAATTTATTTAATTTTAGTTATAAAAAAATTAATTCTCGTCGATATATTTATTTACATCTTTTTTTAATCCTTTTGTATAATTGTTATATAATTTTTATAATTATCAAAACTGTTAATGAATTGCCTAATTTATTAGTTAATGGAAGTTTAACAGATTCAACTCAACTTATTAATGAAAATAGTTATTTTAAATTATTACCTTTTATTTTATTTCCTCCATTTATTTTTTATTTTTTAATTATTTTTATTTTAAAATTTGGGAAAGGTATTAATTTTTTTAATTTTATTTTAAAAAAATATTTTTTAAAAAAAGAATTAAATTCTGATGAAACAATGAAAAAAGTATATCGTTCAGTATTTTTAATTATTTTTGTAAATATTGGAGGATATTTATTTTGTTCTTTAATTGTCGAATATATTCTTGTACCCTTTTTTGGAGCAAATCAAATAAATTTTTTGTTATTTTTAATTATACCTGGATTAATAATTAATTTTGCTAGTGCTTCTAATGCTCCGATTCTTTTTATTAATAGGTTTGTACATAATTTATTTTTAAAAATTTAATTTTTTTATTTAGTACTGACTACAATGATGCATATAAAAAAGAATTTAATTTTATTAAAAATATTTTATTTAAGAAAGTTGGAATTAAACAACAGACAAAAACGGCGGTTGTAATGTTAAATAAAAGCACTACAAATTTATATTAATTATATATTTTCTTAGTAATTATTTGAATATAAAGAAGAGAAGTTAAATAAAATACTTGTTTAAATGGATCTTTAAATTCTGGAAATATCAATTAAAGAATAGATTATATATTTTCTGTGTGTCGAGATCTAATTTAGTTTTTATTTTATATAATAATAGGCTTCATTGCCGTATCAAAATTCGAAAAAGTGTGTAAATGTACCGTGTTTCCTCTATTAATTCCCCATGCTAGAGTTGGGTTGAAACAATAATTCCCCACCCCCAAATACCCTACTGCACGTTCAAATGCCAAAACTCGAATAATCCCCCTCCCTCGATTAATTCACCATGCCTAGTAGGGATTGAAAAAATAATTCCCCAGGGGAATTAATCGAGAAAATACGGTAACTAATTTATCATAAAGAAATATTTAAAAATACTTAAAATTAAAAAATATACTTGACACCTTTATATACAAAATATTAAATTTACTGCAGCTCTTGATGAGAGAAATTAAATTTTTTGTTAGATTAATAAATATTTGTTTGTTTTAAATAACCTCTTGATGCGCGAAGTGTTTATGTTAAAATATTATAATATTTTTATTTAAAAAATTGAAAAAAATATATAATTTTATTTATTGCAAATAATGTTACAAAATTATAATAAATTTATTTTTAATTTAAATATTTTTGAACCTTTGTTAAATATTGCTAATAAACAACATAAACAGTTAAAGCATTCATTACAAGATTTTTATTTAAAATCTAAAAAGGTATTTACAAATGTGCTTTTCGGTTATGCACCTCCTCATAATGATAAAAACTTCAGGCAGCTGTAATAGTAGTAGAACCTGCCGATTATGAAACTTATCTAAGTCATAAAATCATTTTTATATGTAAAATGGATACGAATCTAAAAACGTCTTCGAAATATAGGCACACAAGGAATCTAACTTACATTAAGAGGGCAAAGTTGAATTTGTGATGAAAAATTCGTTTGGGCGAGTTACAGATCATTTTAAGGGCTCATCGAACAGAGTTGAATAACATAAAATCAATGTAATTATCAGATACATTGGGATAGTTTTAATAATTCCACATTGTACTGATTCAAGAAAATGGAAAAATTTTTGATCTTAACTTTTGTCAAGTGTTTAATATTTTAAATTTTATTTTTTTTAATTAATAAAAAATAAAAGTTAATTTTAATTTTTAAATTTTATTTTAAATTTCTTGTTCTCATTTTCAATTTTGTGTTTACAAAATAAAGAATGTTATTTTATTCTTTTCAATCTTTCACCTCTTTATTTTTTTTAATTTTTAAAGATCACAGATAAAAGTTTTTTTTTCTTTTTAATTTAAAAAATTTTCTTTAAGTGGAAAATCATTTCTCTTTTCTTTTTTTTCCCAAGTTTCTCGTTTACTTTAACCTTTTTTTAAATAATCTCTCTCAAGTTTTCTTAAATATTTTTTAAAATAAATTTATTTCTAAAAAATATTTTTTTAGAAATTTTATTTTCTCAGAAAAAAATATTTAAACTATTTTTAAATTTAATATAAATAATAAAATAATTTTGTTAATAAACAGTTGCTTCTTTTATATATTAAATCTCCTACCCTCCCCAACTGTTTCAATCACTTTTTACTTAAATTCCTCAAAAATCTTTTTAATATATATTTTATTTTTAACTTAATGACCATTTTTCTTTTTTTTCCACATTCCTCAAATATATTTTAAAACATCTGGGAATTTAAAAATTTATTGGGAATTTTTGTGGATCAAAGATAATATTTGAAAGAAGAGTAACAAATTTTTAAGTAAAAATATTTCACAAAAAAACATTTTAATCTATAAATTTATCCTTTTCTTTAAATTCCTTTAATTTTTTTAAATTTATCCAAGCCACAGATAATTTTAAAAAAATTTTATTATTTCTGTGAAAATCCTTTAATTTAAAAAAAATAAAACAATTTATAAGTAAGGATACCCAAAACTTTAATAAAAATTTAATTCCTTAAATTATTTTTGAATTTAAATGTGTAGGAAGTACTTGAATATTATTCTCATTCTCTCCTCCTCCTTTTTACTTGAAGTATTGCTAAAAATGGCAAAAAATTATTAGAATTATTTAGAATCTTTTTAAATTTATTTTTAAATTATTACTTTGAAAAATAAAAGCTTTTTTTAATTTTTCTGGATAAAAGTTTGCTGATAGCTAAATTTAAATAATTCCGTTAAAGCTCTAAACTTCCACGTTTCAAATTGCGATCTAATAAATTTGTTTTGTATTTTTATTTCCGAAGGATTACTTATAAACTACTTTAACTATGTGTTCATTATTTACAAAAAATTAACTAAACGAACATTTATTTTTTTCTTTTTTAAATATTTTCCTTCCACTTGACAATTGTTAATATATAAATATATTATTTGTTCAGTAATTAACCTTCAAAATAATAATAACTAAATATTATTTCAGATTTACGATCATATGATGGCTCTTGGTACTAATCAACCACAAACAAGTTCCTCTTTAATGGCTTTTAGTGAAGAAATAATTAAACAGGTAAATTAAAGCAATTAGTTAAATGTTTTTTTAAAATGCTTAAAATATTTGAAGAATTCTGAGTCAGGAAAAAAAATTTTCTAAATAATAATTTTAAAGTTAACACCCGAAGAGATTGATGAATTCAGAGAAGCTTTTATGATGTTTGATAAAGACGGAAATGGAACAATATCAACAAAAGAATTGGGTGTAGCAATGCGTTCCTTAGGTCAAAATCCTACAGAACAAGAAATTCTTGAAATGATAAATGAAGTAGATATTGATGGAAATGGGCAAATTGAATTCCCCGAATTTTGTGTTATGATGAAAAGAATGATGAAAGAAACGTATGAAAATTAATTTAAAGAATAAAAAAAATATTTTAATAATTTTTAGAGATTCGGAAATGATACGAGAAGCATTTCGAGTTTTTGATAAAGACGGGAATGGAGTTATAACTGCACAAGTAAGGAATATTATACTATGAAGGATTTTAATTAGGGTTGTACAAGAGCTATTTAAAATTGGAAATTTTTGATATTTTTTGCCAAAAAGTAAACGTTTCTATGAAGTTTTAGAAATCGGAAATTTTTGAGTAATTTTTATAAATTCTCCCAAAATAAAACAGATATTTAACTAAAACTAAATCGAAACCGAGTCTTTTTTAAATTCTGATTAATTGAAAGCCGGGAGTACCGCTTAATAACTGGTTGTGTCCCTTTAATTTATTAGAAAATCATTGGATTTAATCCAAAATTTAAAGTATTGGGAGAAAATAATTTTTCTTCTATAGAAAATTTCGTGCTCTCGATAAGTTCGAAACAATTAAAAATAAATCTAATTTAAATTTAACTTGGAGATTATAGGAATATTGTAGGAAGGAAATTTCATAAAATACATTTTAAAAACTATTTTAAAGGAATTTCGTTATTTTATGGTACATATGGGAATGCAATTTAGTGAACAAGAAGTTGATGAAATGATTCATGAGGTAGACGTCGATGGGGACGGAGAAATTAACTATGAAGAATTCGTTAAGGTTTTATAAAACAAAAAAATGAATAAAACTAATTTTCTTATTTTTAGATGATGAGTGAAAGATGAAAAGAATTAATGAATTAATTTTAAATAATTAAAAAATCATTCCCTTTAATTTTTAATTAAATAAAATTTTAATGATTGTCATTTCCCTTTATGCTAATATTAGCAAAACTAGCTGTAGTTACGTATGCGATGGAGCGTAGTGCGTATGCAATTCCCATTAGGATACTCTGGCAGTTTAATTTTGCTTTGGGTTTAAATTGGGCTCTGCCCGTTGGAAAGCCTATCGGCTTTGGGGCGCGCTTCGCGCGCTGCTAGAAAGTTTGGATGCATGGAAGAAACGATTGCCCTGCCTTTTCATTGTTTCGGGCCTTCGGCCCTCGCCGGCAAAGATTAGCCCTGCCTTTTTATTGCTTCGGGCCTTCGGCCCTCGCCCACGGCGGGCCTTCGGCCCGCCAACTCCTCGGCCTTCGGCCTCGGAGGATCTATGCTTTGCCTTTGAAATTGCTCTGCCTTTTAGATGTAATGAAGGCTCGGGCCTTCGGCCCTCGCCGGTAAAGTTTGCCCTGCCTTTGACTATTGCTCTGCCTTTTAGATGTAATGAAAGCTCGGGCCTTCGGCCCTCGACTACGGCGGGCCTTCGGCCCGCCAACTCCTCGGCCTCGGAGGATCTATGCTCTGCCTGTGACTATTTCTCTGCCTTTTAGATGTAATGAAAGCTCGGGCCTTCGGCCCTCGCCTACGGCGGGCCTTCGGCCCGCCGAACTCCTCGGCCTTCGGCCTCGGAGGATCTATGCTCTGCCTTTTACTATTGCTCTGCCTTTTAGATGTAATGAAAGCTCGGGCCTTCGGCCCTCGCCTACGGCGGGCCTTCGGCCCGCCAACTCCTCGGCCTTCGGCCTCGGAGGATCTATGCTCTGCCTTCGACTATTGCTCTGCCTATTAGATGTAATGAAAGCTCGGGCCTTCGGCCCTCGCCTACGGCGGGCCTTCGGCCCGCCGAACTCCTCGGCCTTCGGCCTCGGAGGATCTATGCTCTGCCTTTTACTATTGCTCTGCCTTTTAGATGTAATGAAAGCTCGGGCCTTCGGCCCTCGCCTACGGCGGGCCTTCGGCCCGCCAACTCCTCGGCCTTCGGCCTCGGAGGATCTATGCTCTGCCTTCGACTATTGCTCTGCCTATTAGATGGGTTGAAGCTCGGGCCTTCGGCCCGTACTCCTCGGCCTTCGGCCTCGGTGTTTTTACGACTTTTGGCCAATTTGGTGCCACACTCAAGTGCGGCACCAAAACGTCTCGGGCCTTCGGCCCTCGCCTACGGCGGGCCTTCGGCCCGCACAACTCCTCGGCCTTCGGCCTCGGTGTTTTTATGACTTTTGGCCTATTTGGTGCCACGCTCAAGTGCGGCACCAAAACGTCTCGGGCCTTCGGCCCTCGCCTACGGCGGGCCTTCGGCCCGCCAAACTCCTCGGCCATCGGCCTCGGTGTTTTTAAGACTTTTGGCCAGTTCGGTGCCAAATTTGAGTGCGGCACCAAAACGACCTCGACCAAAAAATTTCCCATGGTCGATTACATATAATCCCATGGCCCCATCCGAATCGCCCACCCTATCCACTAAATACACCTAAAAAAGACATAGGACGTTTCGTCCCACAAATTTTTGCGCACCCAAAAGTACCCTTCAAGTTCATATTTCGGGTTCGGGTTTTTCCTACATATATCTACATGGTCTAACTTAGTTTCCTCCCAGCAGAAATTTTTTGCTCCAGGTTCTGGTTCAGGAGATAGCAAAAGTCATGGGGTCGTTTCGGCGCAAAGGGAAAGTCGTGGCGCCACGGCTATAATTTTCCTGAAAAGCCCATTAAAAGTACCCCCCAAGATGTCATACTCTCAAAAGCGGCCCGGCCTTCGGCCGGGCCAGAAACTTTTTTAAAAAATTTTTTTCTATTTATTATAGGTATAATGTAATTAAATCACAATGTTTAACAAAATTAGATAACAATTTTAATTAGAAATATATTAAAATTATCTTGAAAATTAATCATTAAACACTAATTGACCCTTCACGGAAATTTGTCTTTCCAATAAGGACATTCACAACCAGAGATTGTTTTTCTGCTCTACTTCTGGCCATTACCTGAGCCAACGCTTCGCGTACTTGCTTGACGTCCATATCACCGTCCAAAAATAATGATTGGGTGCCTAATGCTTTTGCCGCTTCTTCATAATGAGTATACTGTTTAAAATTTAAAAAATTATTAAATAATTTTTTGTAAATTATGGGGGAAATGAACTAGATACAAAAATTTTTTTTGGATGGGCTCAATTAATATTAAAATATTTTTACGTCCAAATCGCAAGCAACGGCTGATTTAAAGTGCGGCACTTGTTCTCTGGCAATTTGAGTCCAACAGGCATCATTTCCAATAATTCCAACAACTGGAAGTTTATGGCGAACAAAAGTGTCGAATTCCATCAAAGAATAACTTAAATTTAGAAATTAAAAAATAAAATTTAAAAAAATACCCAGCAGATCCATCACCATAAATTATAACAACGGTTCTTTCGGGATAGACAGCTTTTGCACCAAGTGCAAATCCAGCACCCACTCCCAATGTTCCAAAAGTGCCGGGATCGAGCCTTGAAAGAAATATGATAAAACGCAGATTAATTGATAAATGTTGGTTAATAAATAGAGCGAAGACTGCAAAAAAATTAATTTAAATTTATGGCATTCTCACAATCAAATTAGTCCTAATAACCTATCTCACCCAGAGATAAATTAAATTAGTTATTTATTACCATTGCAGTGGTCCTCCTGGGCCCTATTTCAATTGTCCACAGATTCTGCGGTCTGCGTTCTGTGCACAGACCACAGAACCACAGAAATTCTGTTTCAATTATTCCACAGATTCTGCGGAAAAAGAAGTCCGCAGATTCTGTGGAAACATGCACAGAATCTGTGGAAACATCCACAGATTCTGCAAAACATCCAAAAACATGCAAAAACCACAGAATTCTATTTCAATTATTTTTCTGTGCACAGAAAAAAATCCACAGATCTGTGGCTTTTTTAGTCGATTCTGTGCATTTCTGTTTCAATTATTTCTGTGGTCTGCGGAAAATACACAGAATTCTTTAAAAAATCCACCCTAAAATTTTTTCTGCGAACTTTCTGTGGAAAAACTTTAACAATTTTTTTCTAGGCCTAGGCTTAACCAAATTTCAAAATTTTTAAAGATTATTAAAGTTTGAATCATTCTCTATTTTTTGATATAAAAATTATAATTTTATTACCTAAAATTATTGCTTAAAATTAATTTTGAAAAAGGTACATCTTTTTTACGCAGTTTTTGTTATATTCAAGCAATAAAAAAATAAAAAACGTGAGAGATTCTGAAATTTAGAGCTATGATGTTCTAATCATCATGGATATCTCTAATGAGGGGATGTTTACCAGGATCTATAGAAGATATCTGTATAGCGTATACTGGGATATCTCCCATGATCTCTCATTGATATCCGTCATAATCTCTCCTCCTATTTAATGATAGATTTCCTCCTTAATCACTCCAATATATTAAACCTCAAAATCAATGGATATCCCACTTAATCACTCCTCTACGATTTTAAAGTTCCGATTTGACTATAATTTTGGATTCCAGGCATTTTCGATTTCCAGGAACCTCAATTTCTGACTAAACAATCCCCAGTTTTGTAACATTTCCCTCCCTTGCAACAACTTCTATCGTAGTTTGAAAAAGCCACATGTCGGATCGACATCTCCTGATTTTTCCGATCCGAACCCTGCTTTAGGACATTAATTTAATTGGAGATTTAAGGATATTGGATGAACAAGAAAATTAAGCGGTATATCAGCGGTTTTAAAGTGATATCAAAGAGATTTAAAGGGATGTTATGTGATTTGGAGGGAAAATTTTTAAATCTTTACAATATTTTTCAGTTTAATTTAAGAATTTTTAAAGTTTTACTTCAAAAAATCAGGTACCATTAATACTGCGGTAGTACCGAACTGTCCAAACCATTTTTCGTTTCAATAAAACTGTTATTTTCAAAAACGCGGAAATAAAAAATTTGAATTTAGAAGAAAAAATACACAGAACCACAGAAAAATAATTGAAATACAAATTCTGTGGATCAGTGGAAAAAATCCACAGATTTTTATATTTTCCACAGAAATTTTCATCCACAGAATCTGCGGAATGTTTCCACAGAATCATTGGATGTTTCCGCAGAATCTGCGGGCACCACAGATTCTGTGCACACAGAATTTAATTGAAACAGAATTTCCACAGAATCTGTGTTCTGTGCACAGAATGCAGAATCTGTGGACAATTGAAATAGGCCCCTGGACGAACAATATAAGCAGCACTAAAATTATAAAATAACAAATTAATTTATTTAAAAAACCTTCCAACAAAATCGCCACCATCTGCAACCAAAATTGCATCTTTTGGAATTACCTAAATAATTAGTTTTGCCTAATTTTTTCAAAAATTTATAAATTGAAAAAGTAGGCGAGAAATGTCATTTCTAACATTTGTGGGCAAAGTCTTTTACTAGCTACATAGGCTTTTGGTTTCAATTTCAGAGGTACTACGCCAAAAAAATGGTAGTACTTGTACAAGAAAAATTGAAATTCGAGACACGAGCTTTGACGCAAAAATTCGAAATTTTCATAAGTAAAAACTTTATAAAATAAAAATTTCAAAAACAACCTCATCCATTGCAGTCAATAATACAAGAGGATTCATATGCCCATCATCAGGTTTTTGTGCCAATTTTTTTGTAGTGTCTTCTTCTTTTTTAATTTCCATTTCTCTCAACATTTCAATCCATTCTTTACACTTTTCCAAACCTCCCCATTTTCGTTCCTTCATTTGGTTTTGAAGTTCCAACAAAGTAAGGCCTACATCAGCTTGAATAGTTGCTGCAGAATTCCAGAAAACGCCGTGATTCTAAATTAATTAATGTTAAAATGAAATATACTTAATTAACCTTTAACATTTGTTCCTGACTTCTATTTATTGAAATAACTTTTGTTTCAGGCGAAAATCCCTTTCCATAGGTTAGACGAAAGTCACATACAGCTCCTATAGAATTGAATTTAAAAAAGACGAAGAAACAATGGATCAAGTGAGAATTTTTTAAAATTAATTTTCTCCCAAAATTTATTCTTTTTGGCATATTTCAGGGGGAGGTGTTACTCCAAGAATGCGGCCATTACAAAGAATTAAAAACAAAAATAGATTTATAATCGATTAGGAATTGAGTCTGATGTTAGCGCAAGGGCGTAGCATCGGAGCTCTTGGCTGGCAACAATGCCCATATCGGTTTCTTTTTTTTTTATTAAAAGAAAAGGATCAGAGATATCTAGTATTTTTCCTCTCCTTCTGATATTCTTTACATTACATAAATATATCTAAATATAACCTGCAAGGAGAATAACATCAGCCTCCTTAATTGCAATCTTTCTATTTTGACGCATTTGTAACGGTGAATTTGCCCCTAGCAATCCACGGCTCATTCCACCCAAATAAGTAGGAATACCCAAATTCTAAAAAAGAATAAATTTAAGATTTATTATAAAAATTAAAATAATACATTAACAATCTGAACAAGCTGTTCAGTTTTAAGTGGAGGCAAAGTAGATTGACTTCCCATTAATAAAAGTGGACGTTTTGCATTTTCAAGAATATCTGCAATTTTTGTAATATCTTCAATGTTTGGCTTTGGAATTGTGACAGGTAAAGGTCCAAATTCTTTGTGAGACCAAGCATTGTGGAATTGACGATAAATATGTTGATAGACAGACTCGTTGAAATTTTGCTATAAAATTTTTTTTGAGTTATCAAATTTTAAGTCGAAGTTTGATAGGTGTTTGAGTCACCAGAATTAAAAATTGTGAAAAAAACACCAATGAAAAGTAATCTTCCTAATTAGGGTTGCTGTTTTCGAGTCGGGCCGACGGTCGAATCATTTTTTCGGTCCTCATTTTTATGAGTCGGGCCTTACGAGTCTTTTTCGGGCCAAATATCTTAGGACCGACTCGATCTTTCGGTCCGAGGCGGGCCATTTTGGCAACCCATTCCTAATGTCAACTCTATTGAATAAGTCAAAATTTACATATTTCAATTAATTCAACCTTTTCTGGTGTATCAGGGTTTTTTATAAAGCTGGCATCTCTAAGCACTTCCTGATAGGATTGAAGAACATCCAGTGGGAACTCAATAAATACAGGGCCAGGAGTGCCTGATTGAGAAACAGAAATTGCCTCACGAAGTGTTGGAACTTGAAAAATAATTTTTTTTCTAAATTTTATTCAAAAATTATTTAAAACCTATATCTTCAACATTTATAATTCTTGCAGTAAATTTACACATTGATTGAATTATTGGGATTTGATCAATGTCCTGTAGTGCTCCTTTGCCTTTCATTAATGAAGGAGCAGCACCAGCCAAAAGAATAACAGGCGATTCAGCCAACTGGGCATTTTTTAGGGAAGTAATTGTGTTTGTGACACCTTAAAGATTTTTAGATAATTAGATAAAGAAATTTCTGAAAAAAACCTGGTCCTGAAGTTACAGCTGCAACGCCAATATGTTGGCGAAGACGAGCAACTAAATTATATTATATAAAATTTTTAGGGACGCATGAACCCTAAAACCTTTTAGATTGAAAAAAATTTTTCTAGAAAATATTGCATTAAAGAATCATGGTAATATTGAATCTGACAGACCCACTTTTTCTCCTCAAATTCCTTCCTATCCAAGTTCTTCAATTCCATCAAAAAAATTAATTTTTATTTCCCCTTGATGGAAGAAAGGAAAATTGGGATGGAATAAGGGAAGAAATCTGATCATTCTGCAAAAATATAGGAAGAAACTTGGGGAGCAAAAAATGGGGTCTTCCAGATTCAGTATTACCGAATTTATTAAAAGAAGCTAAAACTTAACTAACCCCGACAGAATTCCCTTTAAAAAATAAAACCTGCATCAGCTGCAAATACAGCATTCACTTCATGTCTTGTATCATAAATCTTTAAAAGAATTTAAATAAAAGAAATTTTCTAAGAAATTTAAACTTTAATTCCAAGCTGTTCAGAACTAACAAGTATTGGCGAAATATGCCCTCCACACAAAGTAAATATTTCTTTCACATTATGAGCCAAAAAGGAAAAAAATATTAATAATTTATTAGAAAAATAAACAAAAAAATTACTTTAAGGACAGAAGCAACCAATTCCCCTCCATGTTTTTTGGATTCTTTATCGATCTAAAAAAGTCTTTTTGAATTAAAAAAATTAAAGACAAACATTAAATTTTGTAGAAAAATATTTGGAATTTATTAAAATTAAATTTGTTTTTTTGGCACATTTATTTAATGTTTGGCGAGAGAAATTTAAAAACATTTAAGAAAATTTTCCGTTGAATTTATGGAATTTTTAATCAAAATGAAAAAAAGAAACGCGTGATAAATAAGAATAAATAAATTAATTTTAATCAAAAAAATATTTTATTTCTCTTATTGAAACATTTTTTGGTTAGTTTATATGATTACTTTGCTTGCTATTTTACTGATAAAAAAGAGGGACACGGACACTTAGTCGCAGGCCACATAGTCGCGAAGTAGCTAAAAAGTAGGGCTGCGCCCGGTCCGAAACACCGAAGCGAATTTTGGCCCGAAAAAGACTCGGTCGGGCCGGCCCGATAAAAATGAGGCCCGAAAAGTTTTAAGCGACCTGAATGAAGGACCTTCACGACTAAGTGGCTTGCGACTAAGTGGCCGTACCCAAAAAAATTTTTTTTGAAAAGATTATAATTTATTTAGAGGAGAAAAACGGATGATTTTTTAATTATTCAATAAATTAATTTTTCTCATTTCTTTCTTCTTTGAAATTAAATATTAAAAAATTATTCTTCTAAATAATTTTATTTATTTTCTTCAATGTTGTACTCAAAAAATACAAAATTTTTAATTAAAAAAACTTTTTCTAAAAAATCAATTCGCCCAATTTCAAACAATTTTGTGGAAACTGCTGGTTTTGTTCCTAAAATTGAATCTTATGAGTATTCTAATAAAAAATTGTTGCTTTTGGCAGATGGAAAATATATGACGTATAAGGATGTTAATAATGCTTCTGGACGTTATTCTAATATTTTAAATAAACAATTTGGAATTCAGGTTGATTTTTAGAAAAATTACGAAAATTTAAAAAAATTAAGAGGGGAAGGGTCCGAAAAACAAACTTTTGGCAACTGGAATCAACTTTAGTTGTCTTGATTAGTATCCGGCAAAATCGATTTTTCCGGATCCGGATTTGCAACTAGAACCGGACCGGATTCTGTCGGATTTTTCCGGATAAATCCTGTCCGGAAAAATCAGGAAATCACAAAAAACCCAGGATTTGGGCCCGGACTCCGGAAAAATCCGGCCGGATCCGTCCGGTGCCGGGCACTAGTCGTGATTAAAACAAAAATAAAAACTACATATTTTAACAGAAAGGTGACACCGTCCTTTGTCGAACTTCAAAAACTCCTGATGCCTTAGCTCTTTATTTGGGCATACTTCGGCTTGGAGCTACTTATGTTCCATTAAATCCAACTTATACAAAAAGAGAAACTGAACATTTTGTGAATGTAAGAAAATTTTAATTTAATTTTTTTAATCAAAATTCTACTTGTTAAAGGATGCTAAACCAAAACTTATTGTTACTCTCAATCAGAAAGAAGACAAAACTTTTTGTGATACTTCAACAGTTAAACACGTTTTGTGTGAACAACAATTAGCAAAGGTTTATCCAAATTGTTTTTGCTAAACATTCCCTTAAATTTATAGGATTCTACAAAATTTGAGCCTCTATTAGATGTTGAATCAGCCAATCCCGAGGATGTAGCTTGTATTCTTTATACAAGCGGAACTACTGGTTTATTTCAATATCAGTATTAATATTTTAAATATTTTTTTAAGGTCGTCCAAAAGGTGCAATGGTAACACATGCGGGTCTGACAGCAAATGGACAAATATGTACAGACATTTGGAGATTTCACTCAAACGAGTCAGTTTTTTGAATTTATTTTTATTTTTTTGAATAATTAATAATAATAATCCTTTGGATAAGTCAGACTGTTAAACGGGAAATTTTTACTCAAACTGAAAAAACATGTCTGCATGGATTTCATAAATCCTGGAATCCCTAATTTTAGAGAAGAAATTTAATCCTTATTCTATCTGACCTTGTTTTACAACTGGAATTTTTTAAGAAAAAAATTTTTCTTTAAAATTAAAAAAATTCAAATTTATTTTTAAGTATAAATTTACACGTTCTGCCTTTCTACCATATTCACGGATTGTTTATAAGTTTCAACTGTACTTTATTCTCCAAATCTAGTTGTATATTTTTATCAAAATTTGATGCAAAGGAAACAATTAATTATTTACCTAAATCAACTGTAATGATGGGGGTACCTACATACTATGCGTAAGGATTTTCAATTAATTTGGGGGAAATAATAAAATGAATATGCCAAATGAGGGAGGATTTTTAAAAATTTTATTAAAAATTAGGAATATTAACTCGAAAAATTTTTAAATTAAATTCCAAAGTTTTTTCTCTTTTAATTTTTTTTTTAAAAACATTTCTTATTTTTTAGTAGAATGGTTGAACATAAAGAATTAAACAAAGAATCTGTTAAGAACATGCGTGTTTTTATTAGTGGAAGTGCTCAATTAACTCCAAATGTTTTTGAAAAATTTGAACAAATGACTGGTCATCGAATTCTTGAACGTTATGGGTAATTTTAATTTTAAGAAAATTAATTTTTTAATTATTAGAATGACAGAAACGCTAGTCTCAACTTCAAATCCTTATGAACCAGTTAGTCAAAGAATTGCTGGGTCTGTAGGGAAAGCAGCAAAAGGTGTTGAAGTACGGCTTTTTTGATAAATCTTTTTAAATAATATTTATTTTTAAGGTTCGAATAAATAAAGAGGGAGTAATCGAAGTTAAAAGTCCAAGCCTTTTTAAAGGTTATTTAAATTTACCTGAAAAAACTAGACAGGAATTTACTGATGATGGATATTTTATTACTGGAGATATGGGCGAAAAGGATGATAAAGGTTTGTAATAAAATATTTTTTGACACAGTCTAACCCCGATTAAACGACTATTTAATATTAACTTATTTTAAGGCTTCTCGCCTGTAATATAGCTCACCATTTATTTATTTTTTTCATCAATTCAATAATTTTTTATATTTTCAGGTTATGTTTGGATAAAAGGAAGGCAAAAAGATTTAATTATAAGTGGAGGAATGAATGTTTATCCAACTGAAGTTGAAGAAATTGTGACTGGTTTATTTGGAGAAAGAATTAAAGAATGCGCTGTTATTGGTTTGGTTTTTTAAATTTTAAAGTTCCAAAAAAATTTTTGAAAACAATTTAATAGTCTTGATTCAATTTTTTAATTCTGACGATGGGAAAATAGCTTTCAATATTAGTGGCATCCATATTTGTGTAGATTTTGAGTTTCTTGATCATACTTGCTTCTGTAATTCAAAGAGGGCTTTCGATTGGTACATTACAAGTTATATCAAACTCAAGAATTTTTTAAGAAAACTATATTTACCGGTAGTTCCCCCATTAGCCTAAACTTTATTACATAAATTTATTTTAAAAATTTTTAAAATTTAGCCGTTCCACATCCTGATTTTGGTGAAGCAGTTGTCGCTATATGTGAAGCATCCGATTCTTATAAAGAAGATATTTCTACAGAAAAATACAATTTAGCAGCTGATGAAAAACAAATTTTAAAAGAAAAGCTAGCTCCATATAAAATTCCAAAGGCTTTTTATTTTATGAATTTACCAAGAAATCATTTAGGTAAAATATATTTTTATTTTAAATTATTTTTATTTTTTAGGAAAAGTTCAAAAAAATTTGCTTAGAGAAATGCCGAAATTTAAAAATATGTTTCAAAATGCTTGAATGAAAAGAAATTGCTAATTTTTAGTTATAGGAAAATGTTTTTGTTACCTAACAAATACTATTCACTTAAAAAAATTTTAAAAATATTTAACTCTTATTATTAAGCTCAAACATATAATTTAAATATTTTAATTAACAAATAATTTCTAACAATTCTATTCTGTTGTCAGTTCTAGAAATTCTATAACAAATATTTTTTATAGTTATTTTTTAATTTTAGTCCTTTCTGTAACACATTACCAGAAAAAAATATTCCTCACAAAAATAATATTTTCTGTTAATGTTAATTTTTAAATTATACTGAGAATCTTAACTTTGAAAAATACCAAATTGTCAATATTTACAATCCAAAAGTTAGATTCTCATTTTTAAATAATGAGGAGGAAAGTTTTGGACTTTTTGCATTAAAATTAAATTATTTTTTATAATTTATTTTCAATCATTTTTTTAGGTTAAAACCTACCAATTTATTTTTAATATTTTTAGACACATTTTAATTATTCTTTGCATTTTTTTCAGTTAATTCTTGTTACTTAAATATTCCAAAGAATGCTTTCCTTGGCAACAGAGACAAAGCTCGATATTTTTAAAATTTTCACCCATCAACAATTATGTTCAATTAAACAAACAAATTTTTATTTTAATGATTTTATTACAAATTTTGAAGGAGAACTTGCTCGGGAAGAATTATATAAAATCTCTATTGTAACGATTTTTAATTAATTAAAGAAAAATTATTATTAAGGGTGATTTTAAGAACTTCAAACTACTTCGTCACGAATTAATTAAACCTGACGCTAAGCATTTTGACTTTTTGTTGAATGAGCAATTTGAAGAGAAGGTTAATTTAAATTAAAAATTTAAAGATTTCCTTTCTTTTTAGTTTAAAAATGGACTAGAAATGCCAATTCCTTTGTATTTACATGCTGAAGATTCATCCAAAAATGTTGTTATCTGTTTAATCGAAGGTTAAATTTTGTTTAATAAATTTATTCAAACCCTTCTCAATCACTAATTTTTATGAAGACTCAATTGTGGGCAACGCTGTTCCGCGCAAAGAAAGAAATGCGGATTGTGTTGACCACAATTTATAATAATGTTTTTAGCCTTTTCTTAGGAAAATAGTAGAATTTTTATAAAACTGTCCGAAAAGTTAGTAATTTTAATCCAAAAAATTTTCAGCTCTTAGTAAAAAACTTCTTATACTTCAACTACCAGACATTATTAAAAGCAAAGACGACATCAGAATTGTTTACTATTATTTAAATAAATTATTTAATTGTTCTTTTAAATATGGCACCTTTAATAAGGCATCTTCAATTTTCAATCCAAAATTACTTCAATTATTATTTGGAAATGCTAAACAAGTTTATATTCGAAGATTCGTTAAGCATCTTACGGATCGCAATATTGAAGATGTCTTGAAATTCATTTTGAATCATCTAATTAGCAACAATCTTGAAATTGTTTTTTATTCATCTGAAGAAGACATTGCAAAATATAAAGATATTTTATTTAAAATTTTAACGAAAGGAGACAATTTTAATGAAATTAATTTGATTAATTTATTAAATTCAACAACACTTTATGAAAATATTATTGAAGTAAGTTACCAATACTATAATAAAAATAAAAGTTAAATTTTAAGTATATAGCAACATCTAGAAACTGTTCACAAATGGTCTCTTCTATTTTATTTGATTTCAATAATCACACAAATCTTAAATTAAACAAGAAAGCAGAAGATGCTGAAATTAAACAATATGATGAATCTGATAAATCGACAAAATACCAAATAACCAATATTTTCAATCCAAAAGTGAGATTCTCATTTTACAGTGAAGAATGGAAACGTTTTTGGGATTTTGGAGTTATGATCAGAATAAAGAGAGTGTAGAAGATTTGTCGGAGAAATAAATAATTTGAAAGATTTTTGGTTTTCATTGACTTTCCAATTAAATTATTTTTTATTATGTAAATCTATTTTTATTGGCCGGGAGACATTCGGGATGGGCATTTCCGGACAGATTTCTGGATGGAGATTTCAAAAAAGATTTTTTGAGATTTTTTCTTATCGTGTGTTACCTCTTAATCCCTCTTAAGCCTCACAAACTTCGATAGCCTTCCTAAATCTTTTTAATATCCCGATATCCATCTTAATCCACGAAATCCCTTGATATTTCTGTTAATCCCTTGACAATAGGTGAAGAATCTAAAAAATCATCTTAAATTTTGTCCGTCCCGATACACATGTCTGGCTCCCTTTTTATCATTTTTTGCAGGTTAAAACCTGTCATTTTTTGCCAGGTCCTACTAAAACACGGAACAAAGAAATAATTTTTGTATTTTAAAAATCAGATATTTCGGATGGAATTACTCGTTTAAAAAAATCTGAAAATTCTGATTTTAAAAATATTTTAATTTAAGAAATCTGATTTTAAAACTATTTTGTGTTCTTTCCGACCGCTTTTGTCTGTTCCGTGTTGGAATTACTCGTTTTGCCTCTCGCCCAAAATAGTGTGTGCCAATTCTTTTTTGTATTTACCAATAAAATTTTTAAAACTGATGTAGGAAAATACGTTTTTATAACTTTTTATCTGAAAATTAAAAAGCCAAACAAGAAAAATATTTTTAATTTATGAAAGTTCAACTAATAAATTTCAAAAAATTAAAAAAAATTTTTTTAACAAAATCAAAGAACAGAAATTTTAAAATTGATTTAGTGCTTTTCCGTTCCCTACCTATTTTTTGCGGACCGTAACGTAGGTGTAAACTTTGTAATGTTCTGGCTTAATGATGTAAGTATCCGAAACGGAATTTTACAGTCAAACTAGAGTTGGATTGCCGCATCCAGAAATAATAAAAATATTAAATTTTTAAATAAAGGTGCACATTATTTATCACAAACATTAAATTAAAAATAAAGAAAAATTAGTCTTTCAGTTGATTTAAAAAATTTTCAAAATTTAGGATTTTAATTAAAAATATGCTACAAAAAATCGAAAACAATAAATTTTAAATATTATTTAAAATATTTTATCTAAAATAATCCCTCAATTAATTCTAAAAATCACTTTCAATTTCTCTTTAAATTATTTCAAAACAAATCCTTTAGAAAATTCTATCAAAAAATATTTTTTAATAAGATTTTTTAAATTTTAGTACCTTTTTGTAATACATTGCCAGAAATGCCAAAAATTGACAATTTCTTCTTTTCTTTCAAAATTTCCCCATTTTTATTTTCTAAAATAAAATTTTGAAGAATATTTTGTTTAATTAATTTATATTTTTCTTTAAAATTAATTGAATTATTTAATGTTAAAGATTTTAATAATTTAATTCCAACAATCCATGAAGTACAAAATTGATCTCTAAAATATTTTTTTAAATTATTATTGAAAATTTTCTCTTACATTTTAGGAAATTTTAATCCACAATTTTCTGTTTTTAATCCAAAGTGGCAGTAATCTACCTAAATTAGAAATCTTTTATTTAATATTCTTCAAAGGGAGGAAATAAAATTTTGTTTGAGACATAGCTCTATTTTGTGGAAAAATTCATTGTAATAGAAACAATATGGAATAAGCCATGACCGAAGCAATAACCGACTATGTCACCCCCATATGTACATACAAAACGAATATTTGTAATTATTATTGAAAATATTTTTGCAAGTCAGACGCTAGTATATCCAGCTTTTCAAATAATTTAAAAATACCTCATCAATATTACATATTTGTTCATCTATTTCTGATTTAATTCGATTTTCAACAAAATTACAAAACTTCTCTTGATTAGTTTGACTATTAGTAACACAATAAATAATAATATAATTTTGATACTAATTAAAATAAAATTAGAATTATTTTAACTAAAAATTAACCTTTAAAATAAATTTATTTCCTTCAATTATTTCTTCAAAATTATTTAATTGTTTATTATTTTGTATTAATTCATTTATTTCATAAAAACCTTTTAATTTTAATTTAAAAATAATTAATTAATTTTATTTTTAATATTTACCATTCAAAAATTCATTTTTAATTATTTTAGCATTTAATTTTGTTATTTTAAAAGTAAGAGAATTTTCTGAAAATGTTGGGCTATAAACTGTTATTTCTTCTTGATTTTTTTGTTTTTAATTTACAATCTCTTTTGGTGTTTTTATTCTTATAGGTGTTTTCCAATTCCTTTAATTTAATTTAAATTTTAATCCGATTAATGACTAAAAATGTTCATTCTACAATAGTATACAGAATATTCTTTAGATTTACAGGTGATCGACAATATGTATGTCTCTGACTAAACTAAATGGACTTTTTTTTATCAGAGATGGGTCGGAGATCCGAGTTTCATCTCCTGATTTTTGAAATTCTTTTCTTATAATTTCCGTAAATGTTTTAAAATTTATGATTGTGAGTTCGATACCTACACCTGTCCCAACCTATCTCTAATAATAATTTTAATTTTTCTAAAATTAAATATCCTAACCAAGTAGAAAATGTTAAAAAGAATCTTTCAATTAATTCAGTAAAATTAGTGTCTGGATATAACAATAATACTTTCATAATCATTAAAGAAATTGTTGTTCCATCCAAAAACCCAAATTTATTTCCATAAATAAATTCTCTTTAAAAAAATTTTTTTTAAATTATTTTCCTTTAAAAAAACCTTTAGCCCAATTTTTTAAATAAATACCGTAAATGCTGAAATAATTACCCTGGGTAATTATTGTTTCGACCTCTCGCTGAAGGGGGTAATTATTAGGGCGGGGGTAATTATTTGAGAGAGGGTAATTATTATTTCGACCTCTATAATTTTATCTAATGATAAGCATATGAATAGGAATATAAAATATTTTACCGAATTCAGATATAAATGTTGACGTTTTTACTGTTATTTTATATTCCATTTAATATATTCCTACTTAAAATAACAAAATAATTATTTAGAGGATATAATCTATATTTCCCTAATATATTCCTATATAATGTACCTTAAAGTGGTACCATACCAGCAATACAGCCGTCTTGGGATATATAAAGACACATAGTCTATCTCAAATTATATTAAAGGACATAGGAAATATCAGAGAATTTGGAGATATGCATAGAAGGATTAAGGCTTATCGTATAGATACCTCGATATCTTTTTAACAACTTATTAATCTCATTATTTCTCCCCAAATCTTCTTAATCTCTCGATAATCTCTTATTCCACAGAAATCCCCGATATCCTCCCAAAATTCTTTCAATTTATCAATTTATTTTTTTATGTTGATCCTATAATATTTTATAATTAAAATTGATAATGATTTTTAATATATACTTTTAAAATCAGTTTAGAGAAAAATAGGGGGTAATTATTTGAGAGAGGGCAATTATTGTTTCGATCTCTCGCTGAAGGGGGTAATTATTAGGGCGGGGGTAATTATTTGAGAGAGGGTAATTATTTCAGCATTTACGGTAAATGCTTTAAAATAATTTTCTTTAAATTTTTCATTTCTTTTTTCAATTAAATTTTCTAAATATTTATATGTAATTAAAAGAGATATTTTATAAATTATTTCTTTTTGTTCATTAATTTTACTTTTTCCTTTTTCAATTATTTTTAAACATTTTCTTTCAATATTTTCTGCCCATTTATTTATATTTTCTGTTATCATTATTTTTTGGTCTGTAATAATTAAACTAATATCAAATTCAACTTCTCCAATTTGGAAATTAATTAAATTATTTGATTCAAAATATTGAAGATTTTTAATTAATTTTTTCTATTAAAAATATTTTTATTTTTTAAATTTTGTTAAGAAATAGGAATAGATTAAGTGTTCCTTTATACCTACATAAAATTGTCTGGCAATAATACCTCGACTCCGTAAAGACGGAGTCGAACCAAAGCTAGTTTACGGATTACTATTACCTTTCTCTAATATCCTACACTATTCCTTGATTCCTAGTTTTTCTTTCTCCTTTTTTTAAAATTAATATTTAGATTTACCTTGCAAAGATGACAATAAAAAGAATTGTCCGTACAATTAATTATAAATGGGGGTCTACAAAATGAATTTATATTATCTCCAATAAAAATATTTTTAAAAATTTCTATTGGATTTTCTTTTTTATTTTTTAACAAATATTTATCTATTAATATTTGTGTATTTAATTGTTTATTTAATACAATTTCCATTAAATTATTATTTTCTAATAAATTATTTTCTTGTGCATTTTTGGGAGAATTAATACTGACTGATTAAATGAAAGTGATTGGAATCCTTTTGGATTTAAATAATTATTCTCATCTTTTTTATCTGAAAATTATATTTGTTAATTAATTATTTAATAATTAAAATATTTTTAAATTTTGTTTATTACAGTCAACCCCTCACTTTCTTTTAGTTCTTCACACTCTGTGTCTCCTATAAGTTTATCAAAAAATTTCAGAATCCTCTTACTACCTTCCAAAATTTATATCAATAAACTAATTGATAGTCCCCCCCCCCCCATATTAACTGCCTTAAAGTCCCAAATTCAAAAAATCAAGGCCAATTTTAAAACACAAAAAAGGATGGATTGGATTCTATATTAAATTTAACTTTGCCGGTCAAATTGAATTTTGACTATAAATTTCCACTTTACATTTAATTTGTTTAAGCAATTTTTATTTCAAACCTAAATTAATTTGTTCATTAATTTGATTAATATTTTCAATTCCTCTTTTAATTTTTATTTCAAAAAATTCTTCAATTTCTTCTTTATTATTTAAATTAAATATTTTTTGAATAAATTTTCTTTCATTTTCTCCAAAATTAAAATTATTTTTTTCAATAAAAAATTCACAAATTTTATTTAAAAATAATTTTTCTTTATTTATTTTATTAATTTTTAATAATTTAATTAATAAATTATTTAATTCTCCTTCTTTTTCTTCTTTTTCGTTTAAATTT